AGGAATAAGAATTCACATTTGAATACCATTATTAATTAGGTTAGATAATATATTCTATAATAAAGTGTGGGAGAATGGTAAGACCTACGAACTGAGAATTGGGAGACCTGGAATCTATTTCCAGTTGCGGACTGTGTGACAATGGGCAAGTCATTTAAGACCTGATCTGCAGAAGCACTGAGCACCCACAGCTCCAGATGAGGTCAGTGAGAGATGTCAGTAGTCAACACCCCTGAAAATCAGCCCCCAGGGCCTGATTTAGCAAAGTGCCAAGCACCTACAACTCCCAGTAAAATTGCAGGATTGGACATAAGAACAGCCATACTGGGTCAGACCAATGGACAATCTAGCCTAGGGTGACCAGATGTCCCGATTTTTATAGGGACAGTCCCGATTTTTGGGTCTTTTTCTTTTATAGGCTCCTATTATCCCCCCCAACCCCCACCCTGTCCTGATTTTTCACACTTGCTGTCTGGTCTAATCTAGCCCAGTATCCTGTTTTCCAACAGCGGCCAATGCCAGAGGGAATGAACAGAACAGGCAATCATGGAGCGATCCGTCGCCTGTCATCCGCTCTCAGCTTCTGGCAGTCATAGGCTAGGGACGCTCATACCATGAGGTTGCATCTCTAACCATCTTGGCTAATAGCCGTTGATGGACCTATCCTCCATGAACTTATCTAACTGGGTTGAAAAAAAGAACTATAGTTTTGACCTTCACAACATCCCCTGGCAACATTTTCCACAGGTTGATTTGTGCATTTTGTGAAGAAGTACATCCTTAAGTTTGTTTTAAACCTGCTGCCTATTAATTTAATTGGGTGACCCCTGATTCTTGTGTTATGTGAAGGAGTAAATAACACTCTTACTCACTTTCTCCTCACCAGTCACAATTTTATAGACCTCTATCGTATCCCCTCTTAGTCCTCTCTCTTCCAAGCTGAAAAATCCCAGTCTTTTAATCTCTCCTCATACAGAAGCTGTTCCATACATGTAATAGTTTTTGTTGCCCTTCACTTTTCCAATTTTAATAAATCTTTTTTGAGATGCGGTGATCAGAACTGCACGCAGTATTCAAGGTGTGGATATATTATGATTTATATAGTGGCATTATGATATTGGCTGTCTTATTATCTATCCCTTTCCTAATGGTTCTTAACATTGTTAGCTTTTTTGACTGCCGCTACGCGTTGAGCAGTTATTTTTCAGAGAACTCTATCCACTTCTGTTGGCCCAATGGGAAATATTACTTCAACCACCTTGCCTCTCTAATATCCTGGGACCAACATGACGACAACAGCACTGCAAACTAGGAGTGTCAGCATTTATAATTCACCACCTGTAGTGCAGGTAATTTTTCTAGGGTAGACAAGGCCCCAAAATCTGATACTGAGGTCTGTAAATGTCACAGGTGGTCCTACTGCCATGAATAAGGTTTGTAGGATGGGGTTCCCAGCCCTGGTTAGCACTTACTGTAAAGAGACCACGGGTTTCTTTTTGTCTCTAAATGCAGAATTCCAAAATCCTTTCTTGCTTTCTAAAATCTCAAAATATTGTCTTTTGCTAATGTAAGCCTAGTGCAGTGAAAGTCTTCTCCTTTAAAGATCTGTACAGTTGGCTCACTTAGCTCTTTTTAAAATCCAAATTCCATTGAAATCCCTTTTCTCTTTTGATGCCTTAGTCACCTAATTTTGTTTGGCTCTGTTTACTGTTGTTTCTCTTGCTGAAACATGCTATTTTTTCTGATTTGTCCAAAAAAAAAAAGCCTCTTGCAGCATCTAGGCACGTGTACATCCGTTTAGAATTTCAGCTAAAAATAACAAGGTCATTTCAAAGACAACTCCCCAAACAACAAATAAAACTCACTCAGGCTACACCTCCCTCCAGGCAAAGGCCTGATGAGATAAGCTCTGTAACATGCCCTTTAGCTCAACCAACTTGGCTTTCTAAGGAGAAGTGGAGATCTAATTCCAGAGCCAAAGCCCCACCCACAGTTCTATTCTGGGAATGGGTAGTTTGAACACAGGAGTTTACATCACAACCATCAGGATGGTGCTTAGGGAAAGAGACTAACACTCTGCTTTAGCACCCTTTCAAGTCAATGGGAGTCTTTCCATTGATATCAGTGGGCATAAAGACCCTCAGTCATGAAGCTTTTTTAGGTCAAAGTCAACACCATGAATTTTATTCAGTAACAGACTGGTAACCAGTGCAGTCTGTTGAGCACAGATTGTCACATGCTCTACCACATGCATGGCTAGGTAGCTGGGCAGTTGTATTTGGAGTTTCTAGTCTTCAAAGGTAGCCTTATTTTGAACACATTGCTTTATTTCCATTTGGAAGTGGCAAGACACTTCTACAGTGCAACCTGCATGTGACAAGTTGCTGATGCAACCTATGAATGCTAGAGCACTGAGAATCCCCAAAAGGATCCCCAGACTGCAACGGTCATTAACAAAAAAGTCTCACATCACCTAACTAGAGGGAGCAGATACCCTCTGGATGGTTCTGGAGAAAGTATTTTCTTGCACCCACCAGTGTCACTTCTGTCATATCTAGATTGATGTTAAGTTGCTGACCGCCAAATCCCTGTTTTGGGAATGCACTGGGAAAGGAAAACACTTAAGCAATGCAAGCTAGACTTAGAGCGTAGGTTATACCCATGCTGCTGGCACTGCTGCCCCAAACCACCTCATTCTGTCCCAGCAGGCTCAAGCCCATACGGAACAGGAAAGGTGACAACAGAACCTTTCAATACCAGGGCCTTTTGTATTAGTTTAGATGGAATAAGTGGTGCAAAGATGTTAACCCAGTCAGTATCCAGCATTAAACAGTGTTAAACAAAGTTTGGGGCTTGTTCAGCTCAGACATCAGCTCGCTTGGAACCATGGTGTGACGTTGTGCAGTCTATATGGTTTTATAAAAATATAAGTGAATATAATGTAACTGGGATATGCTTCATGCAAAAGGTTTCTTGTAAGGTATCATTACAAAGCTCATAATCTACTGAGTGTGATCATCCTATTTGTAGAAATGTACCACTCTTGTATCTAAAACTAGAAATATAAAACATAACTCTGAGGGCCTATTGTAATTATGTCAAGTGTGGGCCATTAAGGAGGGTTTGGAATCTTGATGACTCCCATTGTCTGCAGATGGCTGTATTTACCTGTGAGTCTTCCTGTATATGTGTGTGCTGGCAAGTGAGTAATGAAGTCTTGCAGTGACATGTGATTATGTCACCTGAACTGGAATCCATCTTTAACCTGGTGCTTTTCCAGTGAGCGGGGGTGGAAACCCAGAGGGACAAAGGGTTCCCGCCTTATGCAAAAGATATATAAAGGGGTGGAAGAGAACAAGGGAGGGAGGAGTCATCATGAAGAATCCCCTAGCGACTACCTAAGCTGCAACAAGAGCTGTACCAGGGGAAAGAATTGTGCCCAGGCCTGGAAGGTGTCCAGTCTGAGAAAAAACTTACTGAAGCATCTCTGAGGGTGAGATTATCTGTATTCAGTTTGATCAGGCATAGATTTGTGCATTTTATTTTATTTTGCTTGGTGACTTACTTTGTTTTGTCTGTTACTACTTGGAACCACTTAAATCCCACTGTCTGTATTTAATAAAATCACTTTTGATTTAGTAATTTACTCAGAGTATGTATTAATACCTGGGGGAGCAAACAACTGTGCATATCTCTCTATCAGTGTTATAGAGGGCGAACAATTTATGAGTTTGCCCTGCATAAGCTTTATGCAGAGTAAAACGGATTTATTTGGGTTTAGACCCCATTGGGAGTTGGGCATCTGAGTGCTAAAGACAAGCGCATTTCTGTAAGCTGTTTTCAGGTAAACTTGCAGCTTTGGGACAAGTGATTCAGACCGTGGGTCTGTGTCTGGAGCCAGACGGGAGTGTCTGGCTCAGCAAGACAGGTTGCTGGAGTCCTGAGCTGGCAGGAAAACAGAAGCAGGGGTAGTCTTTGCACATTGCGTGGCAGCTGTTCAGCTCAGACATCAGCTCGCTTGGAACCATGGAAAACCCACATTAAACATTTTAAACTTTTTATTAAAGAAGGAAAAACAGTTAAAACACTTGAAATGTACAGTAGTGAGGTTTTCATATTAACAACATCCCTTGTTCCCTTTCCCTTTGGCTCGAGAGAGCTTTTTAGAAGGACCCCCCTTTGTTTGATAGTCTCTTAGATGGTATCAAAGATGGTAATATAACTGTCTTGTTGGGGAAAAGAGAAGCTAGTTGAGATGGCCAGGAGGAGGAGTTGTGGCTGCTGCTGTTAAAATCAGATACCGTTTAATCCCAGGTGGTGGTCGGGATTCAGCTGGACCGGTAGAGGTGGTGATATCATCTGGGTCCCTCTCTCCGGCCTGATATGGTTAAGACATCTCTCAGGATCAGGATGACAAAGGCCTGGGGTCCCAGGAGATGGTGGGGGTGGGAACCACGATGGTAGCCTCCTTCTGTTCTTCCTCTCAAAGACTTTCTTTAAGGACCCAAAAAGGGAGTGGTGGGTGGAATAGCCCATCCCCTCATAATTGGTGGACAAAACAAGGCCAAGTTTCCAACACACCAATTTTGGTCCATTTATTTTTGGACACTTTCTTGTTTACAAAGCATGATCTCAACATAGTCCTGGAGTTATAGTAATCGTCCCTTTTTTGACTAATTCAGTTTTTCTGTCTAGTAATTACTTGACCTACTTTTCATGGTTAATTCCCAAGCAGACAAAGTTATAGGCCTAACTGTCACAACAGCCCTCTAGGCAATGAACAAATGACCAGAACTATCTTCTGGCTTCTCTGAGTGGGAGGAACAGGGGCACTCTTGCTACTCTGTTCACCTCTCTTAGTGGTTAATTACCTGTTTGATCTGTTTGATTTTTCTTTTATTGCAAAGCACACTGATACTAGACAGGTGTTAAGTACATTAATGAATGATAATGTAATAAGTAATGCATCACTAACAAGAATGTATTGTTTCTCTTTGCAGGTAACTGTTCTGGTCCTTTTTGCCCTTGCGTTCCTAACATGTGTTGTATTTCTAGTAGTCTACAAGGTTTACAAGTATGATCATACCTGTCCAGAAGGATTCGTTTTCAAGGTAAAGCACACACATTCTAGAAAAACCAAAGAATATGCAAAACTGTCTCTGCTACTTTTTCCTTATCCTTGGGAAAGTTATGTTTATTTGCATAATTTAATTTTTTTTATAGAATAAGGCTTTCTCTCTTTCTTTCTGCATACTCACCACCTCACTTATCAGCTATCTCATAATTTTCATAATGTTCTTGATTCTTTTTGCTACTGCTCCAGAGATCAAGAGAACATAATTCTTAACTCCTATGCCCTTAAAATCAGGTAATCTTCACCTGCAGCTGTTTGAAAGATGATCTTAGTTATTAGGCAAGATGGATGTCATGTGTTCCCCCAAATGTATAGGCCATAGGAAGGAACAAAGATATAAATCTAAAACATGGAGCGAAGCATCTGGACTTAGCTCCTGCTTTGGATATGACAGATGTCTGAAAATTGTCATAGTGGGAGTGAGAGTGTGTGTAAAAAGAAGCTCTTACATGCTCCTGGGGAAATTCTGCGCCACTGCAAGAGCAGTCATGCGACCCTCTCCAGCAGTATGTTTTAGGTGCCAGGGCAGATGGCAGAGAGGTAAATCACTGTGGGGTAGGGGTCGGGATTGGGGAAGACCCAGCTGGTGGCTCCTAACCTGTGTTAGGCTCAGCTGCTAGTCCCAGTTGAGCTGCTGAGAATGGGACTTCCTTTTCCCCTGCACGGCCTCCGGGGCCAGGTCAGACCCACCCCCAGATTCCTTCCCCAGCTGCAGGAAGCTCTGCAAGTCCTCCAATTCCCCCCTCCACCTGCTTCCTGCACCCATCGCTCCTCAGCTGCAGGGGGAGGGATCCCTGTACAGGGAGTTGCTTCCCCATCCACCTAACCTCGGTGTATCCAGACCCCCTCATACCCTGCCCCACCCCCAACCCCCTCCCAATGAGCCCCATTTGCCCTGGACCACTACGAGCCACCTGGATCCCCACCCTGCTGAGCCCCAACCATCTTCACCTGGACCCCCCTGCAGAGTCTGATTACCATTGCACCCAGAACCCCCCCCCCCACAAGCTACCGCACCCAGATCCCCCACTGAGCCACCTGCATCGAGATTGCCCCACATAACACTCAACCCACACCTGGATCCCCCCCCCATACTAACTTCCTCCACACTTGGATTCTGCCTTGCTGAGCCTACCTGCCCACACCTGGTGCAAAGGGGCAGGGCCTTGGGGTATTTCTGGGGTAGGCCCAGTCCTTGTGCTGTGTCAGGGTTGGGTGCCGCCTCATCGCTGAGTCTGTGTCTGGGGGTGGGAGCTGCAGAGTGATCTCCCACCTCTGTTCAGCCAGTGGCCTGTGCTCCCCAATGCTATGCTGGAGCCTCCAGATTTATTTGATAAAATTTGCAGAAGTTTAAAATATTGTGCACAGAATTTTTAATTTTTTGGTGCAGAATGCCCTCAGGAATACCTTGTACTACAATGGCCACCTTGGGTATATATTGCCTCCTACAGGAACAGGACTGAAGATCCAATAAAGGAAAAATATATAGGAAAAAATCTTTGCTAATTAATGTAATTACATACACAGTGTTAAAGGGTAGGGAGGTAGCATGAAGATAATAGAGTATGAATCTACTAGGAAGGAAGGGGAGAAAGAGATTGGAACTGGAATCACAATTCTCACAAGAATTTATCTCTCTGGCCATACAGCTGAGCAGTGTGATTTCTTTCACTTCTAAATTCACCACCATCACCGTCTGCAGGATGAGGCCTACCTTCTTACTGCTTGTCATCTCCTCACATTCCTGGCTGTCTGCCTCTTATTATACTGCTTGCTTTTAACGACATCCTTTCATTTCTTTCTATTAAGCTACCTTTTTTCCCATTAAATCCTTATTTAAAATAAATACATGATTTTGTGTTTAAGGCACTTGTCAGGGCCTGTAACATGGGTGGTTTGACCTAGTGGTCAGAGCCCAGGGTTGTGGTCAGGAGTCACACCAAGGGTCACAGCCAGAATTGCAGTGAGGAAGTAGGAACAGGACATGGTAACAGGCACAAGGAGTGGGAACCAGGCGAGGAGGCAGGAACTTGGTCTCATGGGTCTGGTCAGCAGCAGGCCTAGCAACTGGCTGCTCAAACAAGGGCAGTGGCAGAAACAGGACACTTTATGCTAAGATGTGTCCAATCAACAGTCTACTGCTAGTGAGCTGATCCTGCTGAGCCAACAAGTTCAGCCTCTGTTTGTGGGAGTGTTAGCTGGTTTCCTGGTGGCACAGATACTAAGGCTTTCACTTAGCAACCCTCTCTGAGTTCAGGCCCTCAGGAGATCAGGCTACAGTTTCTGTTTCTGCCTTGGAGACTTCTTGTGTGACCGTAGGCAAGTCACTTGCTCTCTCTGTGCCTCATTTTTTAAAATGGGGACAATAATACTTTTTCTCCTAACCTGTCCGTCTTGTCTATTGAGATTGAAAGCTCTCAGAGCAGAGACTGTCTTTGTACAGTGCCTAGAATAATTATCTCAGTTGGGCCTGTTAAGTGCTACTGTAATAAAGGCTATTTCTTCCAGGAAGACCTGTATCATATTCTCTTCAGCAGTAAACTCTCTACATCCTCCCTTACTTGAATTGCTGTCCCATGTCCTTTCTTGTCTTTGCTTGCCTTTTCTACCTTGACTGGTCAGTGAAGGGAAAACTTCTTACCTCTAATTCAGCATTTCTGAGGATATTATGTGACTGGATTCCTACTCTTGGTCTTGTCCTTCTAACAAGGGACAGATGGGATCTCCCCTGGCTCTCAAAGCTTTCTCGCTGTTTAATGCACTGGTACATATAGTTCATGCAAAGACGCTTATTGTTGTTACATTCCCAGTGGTGAGGGTTTTGTGGAGACTATTTCCAAAAGGAAGTTTAGATCTATGACCATCTCATGATACAAGGGTTCATAAACTTGTTTTTTGTCCGATAAATCCATAGAATATCAAAGCTACACTGCAATAATTGATCTGCATGTCATGAGGCCTAAAACTCTCATGATGTTGATTTTAGCCTCTGTATCTGGTGCCAATGCCTGTGCCTCTGCCTCTTTTATGGAAGATGAGGCAAAGCTTTGCACAAATGTCACATTTGCAAGGAAAAGTCTGCACCTGCAAAGATTACTTTAACTATCTTGCATTAACCATGAAGCTCTTTGGGCAGACTCTGTCTATGCTAACTTTGCCTGCACTGAAGTTTTCTTGCATTGATATCCAAGCCTAAGATGCTGCTGTGCTTTGCTTGCAAAGGGTAATGTGTCCCGCGTCAGTAAATCTAGTGCCATGGGGTATCTTTGCATAAAGGCCATACTGCCACATCCTTGAGTCAAACTTTACTCTGATGTCCACACATTGTGGGGTATCTTCAAACTGAAACAACTTGTTTTTAGGCCCTTGTTGAATCAATGCCTGGCTGTGATGGACAGTCCTACTAGGTCATGGATGCTTCAGGCGCCACTGTTTCAAACCTTTTACATTGTTCTGCGGATCCAAGGCTTCAAAGTGTCTGTGTGCACTTAAAAATGCTACATTGTCATCTCCTATGGCAATGGTACAGCTGCTTAGACCATGACGCACCAGCTGCATTGACATTACCTGATCTGAGGCCTTCAATGTTGTTGGTCGTGCTTGGAGCACAGCTGTGTGGAAATCTCATGGCAGTAAGACCCTGCTTTGACCATTAAATGTCATGGATGGCTTTGTCAGTTCCATGTGACTCTCTTGAGAGGTGAATCACATGGCATGTTATGCATTGGAATTACTTGTGTCAAGGCTCCAGTAGCTATGCTCTATGGAATAGCTTTGCACCTATTTCACAACCACACCACCATAAAATGTGTGTGTCTTGACTCCTGCTTTGAGGCCCAGAGGTTTCTGGATTGTGAGACAGCTCTGTACCTTGACAACCAAGAACTGAGACACTGGAAATACCTGATGCTTCTCATCTTGAGGCTTTAGGGAGTAAATGATCCTGTCCCAGAGTGTTTGAGGACCAATGTTGTTGCTTCTGAAATAAACATCATGGTGCAGCTCTGTGCCTGTGTATCAATAGTATAAACTTGTGTTGGCTCCTAATTTGGCCTTGGGGGATAGCTTTATAGCCTCTAAGCCGTTCCACAATAAAGTCTCCTTCCACCAGGCAGTAGACATAAGGCCATGGCTTATTTATATGCTGGGTGAATTTTGACATTGTGAGCCTAATGCAGATATCTGCCACGAGATAGACTGCACCTTTGAAGCACTCTTAACTGGCTACATACAGGTCACACTTACAGGAGTCTCAGAACATGAGTGATCTCTCTCCTGCCATCCATCTCCACCCTCTGACAAACAGAGGCTAGGGACACCATTCCTTACCCATCCTGGCTAATAGCCATTAATGGACTTAACCTCCATGAATTTATCCAGTTCTCTTTTAAACGCTATTATAGTCTTAGCCTTCACAACCTCCTCAGGCAAGGAGTTTCACAAGTTGACTGTGTGCTGTGTGAAGAACTACTTCCTTTTATTTGTTTTAAACCTGCTGCCCATTAATTTCATTTGGTGGCCCCTAGTTCTTGTATTATGGGAAAAAATAAATAACTTTTCCTTATCTACTTTCTCCACATCACTCATGATTTTATATCTCTATCATATCCCCCCCTTAGTCTCCTCTTTTCCAAGCTGAAAAGTCCTAGCCTCTTTAATCTCTCCTCATATGGGAGCTATTCCAAACCCCTAATCATTTTAGTTGCCCTTCTCTGAACCTTTTCTAATGCCAGTATATCTTTTTTGAGACGAGGAGACCACATCAGTACGCAGTATTCAAGATGTGGGCGTACCATCGATTTTTATATAAGGGCAATAAGATATTCTCAGTCTTATTCTCTATCCCCTTTTTAATGATTCCTAACATCCTGTTTGCTTTTTTGACTGCCTCTGCACACTGCGTGGACGTCTTCAGAGAACTATCCACGATGACTCCAAGATCTTTTTCCTGATTTGTTGTAGCTAAATTAGCTCCCATCATATTGTATGTATAGTTGGGGTTATTTTTTCCAATGGGCATTACTTTACATTTATCCACATTAAATTTCATTTGTCGTTTTGTTGCCCAATTACTTAGTTTTGTGAGATCTTTTTGAAGTTCTTCACAGTCTGCTTTGGTCTTAACTATCTTGGGCAGTTTAGTATCATCTGCAAACTTTGCCACCTCACTTTTTACCCCTTTCTCCAGATCATTTATGAATGAGCTGAATAGGATTGGTCCTAGGACTGACCCTTGGGGAACACCACTAGTTACCCCTCTCCATTCTGAGAATTTACCATTTATTCCTACCCTTTGTTCCCTGTCTTTTAACCAGTTCTCAATCCATGAAAGGACCTTCCCTTTTATCCCATGACAACTTAATTTACCTAAGAGCCTTTTGTGAGGGAGCTTGTCAAAGGCTTTCTGGAAAAAAGCTGGAGACATGGGTCATTCCACTCTCATCTAAACATCCTGGGTCAGTTTTTCCAGGATATGGAGTTACCTTAACATATTCACAAAGGAGTTTTTGACCCCAGATGCCAGAGTGCTTGCCTTCTGTTGGACCCAGAGACAGTAGGTCAAAACAATTTCAATACATTAACTAAAGGCCAGCACAGCCTTGCACATTACACCTGAAGCTATTGACACAGCAAAACGAATGGAGCTCAATAGAATCATTCTCCTCCTAAAGAAAGCATTGAGGTCATCAACACAGCCCACCTCAAGAAAACTCAAAAGCCATCTTGATACAGTCAAATTCAAGCAGAGCTAGAAACCACAGTTGCCATGGCATGAAGGGCTCCATCTATGACTAGCTACAGCTGCAGGCTGTGAAAAAGACTGGTGTCCCAGACCTGAGGCATACCCACTATCTCTATCACCCCTCTGTTATTTTCTTACATAATCTGGGAATTAGGAAAACAGATAAAAAGGATACAGGATGATGTTCTGAACGAAGACAAAGGCTGCAGGACAGGTAGCGTTCTGGAACCAGCCCCACAGAACATTTATATCAGAGAGCTCAGTTGGTGGCTACGACCAGTACCTTAGTGGTGGGAAATGTTCAAGAACTCTGGGCTGGGCCATACAATAGGTACGCTTATTAGTTCCTCAAAGGGCCAAAATCCGCGAGTAGGAATCCAGTCAAGATGGAATCTCTAGTATATGTGTCTTAAGCTGTTCTGCCACGTGCTGTGTACGTTTGTGACGGACAAAAAAACCAAACAAACTTAATAGGGGATACTGTGCCATTTGGGAAGCTATTGTTTGGGTGTGACAAAATGAAGTGCCTTTATGATCAATTAAAGATCCTGTGGTACTTTTGGAACTGCAAGTTCTACTGCAAGTAGATTTGGCTTGGTTCCAATGCTGGTAATTCTGTTCTGTTTGCCCCATGCAATTTTAATTAGGCAAGTGGATTGTGCTCCCATTCCCCACATCTTAACACATTCTACAGATGGGTGAAATAATCATTAATAACAGCTTAAATGTATACAGCCCCTTTCATCTTTAAGGCTCCCCAAGCACTCTATAACCATTACATTTAAAACTGATACATCACAGTGAATGTGTAAGTGCAGGAAAGTCAGGGAATGGTACCGTTAAGGTTCTGATAGAATCACATACAGAATGTGCCATATCAATGTAGTAATTTTGATATGCAATGTAGATGAGTTGGACACGTGACGTGGAATGTTAACTCAGTTTGTCAACGTTACAAGCAACTGAAAATAGGGACCTATAATGAGAAGAATCAGGCAACCTGAATCATTGGCATTGCTTCCAGTTTGTGTCTATAATGAAAGCACAGTTGCCATAAATGCCAACTACAGAACTATTCTAGTTTTTCAAATTAAGAATGGATATTTCCAGAGGATGATGCGGTTGCTGTAGCTGAGCGAAAACAACAAAATAATCACTATCCGCGAGTTGCCCTTGCCATTCCTCACCAAGGCTCCCATCCTCCAACTGTGTCTGGGTGCTATGACCACTGTGTCCATGCAGAGCCCCATTGACTTCACTGGGGCTCTGTATGAGCTCAGATGGAGTGAAATTCTGGCCCCATTGGAGTCTCTGGCAGTGCTTCTATTGATTTCAGTGGGGCTAGGACTCAATCCATGGAGCCAGTTGTAGGAGCCAGGCTAGTGATAAGACAAAGAGGAAAATCTAGGTAGATTGAATCTTGTTGACAAGAGACAGTGGTCTTGTCATGTGTTGTCATTAATCTGACATTCATCCAGCTTTTGTAAACACCGATGAATGGGTTAGAACTGCGCAGTCATCAACTCCAATGCACTCTTACAAATTATTAAGGATTTCAAAAGGGAGTTTACTCAAATGCCTTTTGGCCGCAATGCCTCCTGCACTGGTCAGGCCTACCACAATATTTTATTCTTCAGACACTTTCTGATAGATCTAACATATACAACCTCATAGTTTTGGTTTGCCTTTACTTTTCCCTTAAGTTTTGTGTATGTGTGTGGCCCACAGAATGGGATTAGTGTTTATCTAATGCATGCTCTACCCCAACATTTTAGGGGACACACATTCTAAATTAACACTTTTTATTGTATCTCCCAGAATATCGTGTTTTATTTTTGTCTGTCTCTTTAAACATTAAGGTGTTTGGGGAATCTAAGTTACTGGTACTTAGTAGAAAAGAAAGTGGCTTTTAACTAAGATGAGGATTCTGACAAACAGAAAAATAAACGCTGTTAAAAGGGTGTCTACTCATTAAGGTTGTAATTTTAACATGCCCTCTATTGTGCCTGAGAAGTGCTGCCACTAAATGTTGTTGCTGTTGTGGAGTTCTGGGAGAATGCTATTAAAATGTATTGTGTATTTGAATATTATTTAAATAAATAGTCCATATCTGTAAGGAAACTTAGCATACCATTTTTTAAATGTGTTTCTAGATGAGGTAGACATAATTAGACTTATTCAGTCCTCAGACTGATCTGAGTAGGGCAAGTACCAATACCTTGGAAAAAGATTTTTATTCTTAGTTATATTTTCCTTCATTATCTTAACTAGAACTAGCCTCCTAAACTGAGTTGAAATTGCCTTAGCTAGTGCTGGTGTTGCTTACTACAACATCAGTGGAATGATAGCTTAGAGCTAGCTAACAGATAATGAAAGCATGTACATGCATGCACGTGTCCCCATCTGACAAAATTTTCAAAAATAGGTGGCTACATTTAGGCTCTGAAATCCATATTTAGATGCCTAAACATGGATTTAAGAGCTTAACTTCAGCCATGTATTTCTGAAAATCTTGGTTTCTTTTTGGGTAAACATATATAGGCATATTTTTTTGCTGTGGCATTAAGTTTACTACACTGTCATAGTGTGTTCATAACTTGGCAACAGCATATTTGTTAGCTTTTATTCAACACAGACTGAAACCAGGCTATTAAAGTGCCTACAGCCATATCTAACTATGGAATTGTAGCTTTAACTGCTTGAATTAGTTAACTGTTGAATTGAGAGGCACCAAAAATGTCTGGTTCTAGAAATTTAAAGCCATTTAAAAAACCTTGTTAGGGTAACCAACTAAATTTGACTGCTTGATGATGTCTGCTATTTTAGAGTGTCTGTATAATAACTGTACTGAAGTATAGTGGAATACAATTGCATGACTATTGTCCTCTTGGGACTCATGAAAATAAGATGTGATGTAGGAGGTTATCACAGTGAGGAACGTATTCCAAAATAAATTTGGATTATTGAGACCAGTATATAGTGGTGGTATCACAACAATTAAACAATATTGGTGTTGCTTCTTGACTCTCACAAGTAAATCATGAAGACTATAAAGAGAAGTTACTTGTTACTTGTCTTTGGAACAGTCTCTAATGTAAATGGTGGATTTTCTTCCAGAATAATCAATGCATTCCAGTTGGATTAGAGAACTACTACTCTGAACAAGACTCCAGCGCTCGAGGGAAATTTTACACAGTCATAAACCACTACAATCTGGCCAAACAAACCATCACACGTTCAGTGTCTCCATGGATGACAGTACTGTCAGAAGAGAAATTGTCTGAACAGGAGACTGAAGCTGCTGAGAAATCAGCTTAGTGCGATAAGCTAATTATTAATAGGTCATTTGAAGGTAACGAAGGGACTTTAAGGAACTTTTCATTAAATATAATTATGGATAATTTAGAGGTTACTCATGTTTATGGTGCAATTGCTTCTGTTTGCTGATACCGCTTTGCAAAAAATAAAACTTGCTACAAAACATTCATGAGCATAAAATAAGGTGCATATCAGCATCGCTTTAGAGCTCTGACACCATTTTCAATGTTAAGAAATCAACTTTAGATATTTTCTTGCAATTTACTGGATGCTGACAATTTTTCACTGGATTTTTCAGTGGTTTGGACTTCACATAATGTGCTTTATTGTCTGAACTGATACTTTGTTTTTATTACATAGCCATTTTTGCAAACTGAAACACCATAGCCATAACTAGAGTGATCTCTTGTTTAGCGAAGAGCTGTATTTAAAACTTGTTTTCAGGTCAAGGCTGATATCAAGGACTTGCTGTAATGATTAGAATGGAGAAAGAAAAACTGTCAGGTAGCATATTTTTCTTCACTGTTGATTTGTAAGTGATAATGAAGTTCTCTGCAACAAGGCATGCTCAATGTTTTATTATTACTGTCAACAAAATTTCACTACATTCCCACAATGCTTTAGTATGTTAGTAAGGATGTGCACTGAAACAAACTAGATAGGACACAGTGGAGCGAGAGACACACTTTTAGTTATGGATTTGTTCAGATTGTGTAAAAACAACTTATGAACTGGAGGGTGTTCTGATGAGAAAGGACATCCTTTGATCACATTGAAGAAAGAGGCAGAAAGCCTTTCACGCTCGATGTAGTCCGCCCTCTGTAATTTGTCTGATATGACAGAGGGAGTAACACTTTAAAAGAATCCCTTTTATACAACATTAACACTTTTCCCCTTTTTATATATATTCTGAATTGCTTTGAGTTAACTATGCTGTTTGTAATTTGCTAATTTTTAAACTACAGGACATCACAAGTGAAACTAATGTATTAATTTATGCTACTTGCTGTTTTAAAGTGACATGTCAAAACGGAGTGAAGAAGCATAACTCTGTTTATGTATGATTTTGGAGGAAAAAAAGATGTAGACAAGCCTAGTATTGTGGGTGCACGTTCAAGTTTGATGTTTCATTGTACTGACAAATTTCTTATTTTGTATGAAACAATGTTTTTTCATTTAATCTTAAATATGCATTACAAAAATAATTTTATTAATCTGCCAGTTAGACAAAATAAGTGTGTGAAGCTTTTAGGTATGAGATTCACTTTTCCTTTCATATTACTTGAATGTGATATTTCTAGTGGACATGTCAAAAGTTCCATTGTTGTAGGCACTATACAAAAATGAAAGGAAGCCATTGGTTATTTGTCTAGTTCTGTAGTAGAACAAACTTGGTCAGCTCCACTTTTGGGTTTTCTTCTAATCCATTATTAATGTATTTAGTATCAAAACTTTACATACCAATAAAGTACAAAATGGCCACTGCTTCTCAATTCTATAGGTTTGATACCAAACATAACAATGAGTGTGCATTATATAGTTATGAACTATAAAAAGCTTTGTTTATTATGCTGTGTGGAATGCATAAAAAGCAATAAATTATGTGCCAAATTTTTCTTTGCATTTTTTAAAAAAGTTCAGACTCATGTAAACACATTAAAACATACCATGTTTTGTCTGCTAGTAGACATGTACTTTATTGAATGTAAATTAATTCACATGTAACTTTTGACATTTTCACTTCATGCAAAATAAAGAATAAGGATGATATTGCCTGTTGCATACAGTATGTTGACATACATTTCAAGACACACAATAAAATGAACTTTTAAATCAAATTTTTTTTACCAAAAACATGAATTCAAATTTTATAAGATTTGCTTTTCATTATTATCCTCCAGAGATGTGATTTAAATATATTTTCCCTTAAACTTAGACCAGTAAACAACTTCACTGTACAGCCATCTGCTGAACAGTAAGACTAATTACTATCCTCAAAAGAAAACATTCAAAAATTTCAGGCAGCTGGAAACATAAAACTCATTTGGTGACTGATGCTGCAGCCCTTGAAGTCAAAGGGAGTTTTCCCACTGACTTCAACAGGAGGTGGTTCATAAGCTCCTGGCTCCAACAGCTTCTGAGGTTTGTTTTTTGAACAGGTAATTAACAACTTTAATATTTCAAAAAGTTTGGCTTCCATGTTATCTATTCTTCAGCTTTCTCCAACATCTCAATACATCAGTTGCATCACATGTTTACTATAATTTAACATATATGACACTTCTTGGAACCTAGCATAAGTAAAGCTTTACAACAGTGTTTAAGAGAATTACTTTCCAACAAATACAAATGACCCCTGCCCAAACTAATTCTACAGGATAAGGTGTGTCTGTCACAGATATACAAGGTTATTACAATTTGTAATGAGTGGTGTGACTAAAAAAGAAACCTGAGACAATAGATAGAAAAGCTCAACCCTGTCTGCATTGCAACAATTTTCTTCATTGTACATCTTGTCTACATTGTGAACTTTCCACTAATTGGCGTGGTAGGCTATAATTTCTTAAATGTATAATTTACATTTTATTGAAAATTTCTTGCAACTTACTAAACTTGAGCCTGCTTTTTACTTGCTAGCTGATTCAAAATTTTTAGCTTTTGTTTTATGAAGCTGCGGAATGGACTTAAATGGTGTTGATCTATTCACTGCAAGAGTGGTACATACACAGACACATACTTTTTTTTTGCTAGAAAATATTTTCCAGTCACAACAGTATGACATTTGCAGATAGCGTATCCTGCTTTGAGAGGAGGAATGTTTAAATCTTATACAAACATAGCACACAGGCTTTGTTTTATTAACTGTCATACCAGTCCAGGAAAAGCAAGGAGAATGAACACATTACAAGGAAGAAAAGGATCCATACTCGAAATCCAGCGTTTTTTTGGATTGCCTGTAGGAAGATATGAGCTCAATGACTATTTTTCCTTAAAAATACTAGATTTCCATAATATGACTCAAACAACAGTCCGTCTGGCACCTCTGTAAGCCAGTGGCAAAACTCACCATTGACTTCACTTAGAGTAGAGTTAGGCCCATATTTCTCTAGATTCTCCCCCCATGACTCAGGCCTCAAAATTTCAAAAGCAGAGTCAATTGAAGGGAAAAAAGCAATCCCCCATCCTACCAATATAGTTGGGTTAGTTAATGATAGAACATATGCCATGCACAATAATGAACAGTTCTAAAGAAAGTGTTATAAGAATTGATAAAAAATGCATACATTATCTATTTAAATGCCAAATGTTGACCTTTCTAAGAACAAGAGAAACGGCTTCTCTAAACAGTTCTATTAAAGCTCTTCAGTGATTAAATAACTTAATAGCTGTTACTGAGGGCTAATTTAACATAGGTCAAGGCAGTATTTAAATATTGTAAATGACCAAGTTCAAAATAGCAAACATTGCTTCCAAGATTTGTTTTTCAACTGAAATGATAAGGATGGGGGGGGGGGGTTATTTTAGACTTAATGTCAATAGACTATCATTAATAGTATCAGTCTCAATTCTTAAATAGAGAAGTTTTCATTTGTGGATCTCAAAGAGTTTTTACAGGTAGGGAAACTGAAACACAGAGGTTAAGTGACTTCCCCAAGTTAATGTGCATCAGAAGATGTGTGTTAGTCCCAGCTCTGCCACTGACACACTATGTGACCGTAGGGAAGTTAGTTACACTCTCTGTGCCTCAGTTCCACCAGCTGTAAAATGAAGATAATAATGCGTTGAGAGCCAGGAATGAGATGCACTGTACTTGAGTGCTGAATACTACTACTACTACTAATAATCTATTTAGTCTTGACAATTAGTCTAAAAAATTTCATCCCTGCCATCATATGCTCTGCCCACTACGCCATGTTACCTTTTGGATAACCAAATCTGAATAATAACAATCCTAAATCAAGTCTCTGAAAATAAAATCCCAAACAGATTTACAAAAATAAGTGCCTAATGATAGGGTCCTAAATTCATGTTTAAGCATTTAGATAAGTGAACCTATAAACAGGATCTTATGCAGTATGGGGAAGGGCCTCTTCTGATCAAGATAATGTATCAAGACTACATTTCCATCGATTTCAGTGGTGTCTTCTTCCACCAAACTCCTTAGGGACACTGCATAGGTGACTACATGCAGCGCGGGGTCATCCTCATCTTTAACAAGGAGGTGAAGACAAGCAAAGGTTACAGGTCCCAGTGGTTGTTCAGATCAACATTAGTGAAACATTAAGTTTCACAGACTACACTTCAGTGTAAGTGATCCAGGTAGCTTCCAACCACACTACTATTGCTAATCAGATATGCCCCCTAAGGTAGCCACAAGTTGCAAATATGGCCATGGTATAGGGCAAAAATGCTTTGATAGCTAGGAGCAAGAAATGCATCGAAACACTACTTAGTAACATTACCTCTCTTATGTCTTCATTACCGCCTTTGATATTTTCTGTTGCACCCACAACTAACTGATGAATATTGTCAATTTCGGTGTCCTGTTGAGCAAGAGTTCCATAAAGACAATGACAAATTCTGCAGAAAAATGTTAACTGTAAAGATCTGGGTCAGAATAGATCACAACTATGAAATAAAGTACGTGTCTTAATATCTTATGTGCATCTTTACCAATCTTCAAGGGACCGAGGGTTAATTAAATCTTAAATTTTCTGTCTATGTCAGTAGGAGCCTGAAATCAATAGAAAAAACTTCCACTGACTTCAGTAGCCTTGTATCAGATATAGCATATAATTTTTCACCAGTTGTTTCGTTTCCAAAATGCCACTAACTGAGCATAAGTAACAAGTAACATTAACAATACACTGTTCTGAGGCAAAGGGACCTTAATAGTTAATTCAAGAGTTTTTATCTTTTAATGTTACTAGGAAGATGTATCTACTAAGATTATTATGCAGGAAAAGCCATCATGTATTTGACTTTGAAACACGACTTTTAAGTTCCATTTTTCCTCAGTGTCTGTGTTTTCTTTTATTCACATCTCTGATAACATAATGCAACTAACAAGACACAGAGCAGTTTCACAGCTGAGAAATGTCCGCAGGAAAAGCTCATTTCTCTTAAGCATACAGTTCAGTTATTTCTCTTGACATTTTGATGTTACAGCAGCAAACGTTTTTTACCTGTTGCAAGACTTTTTCTGTGAATATCTCTTGAAGTCTGGAGATTTCAACCACTTTCCCTTCAATTTGTCTTGACAAAACAAAACACCCCCCCCCAGATATGTCATTGTGTTAGTGCAAAGATTTTCCACTGTAGATTCACTCTAGACTCACATCCTCAAACCCAGCAAATCACACTATTAATAAGGTAGTCATTTTATCAGCAATTTGTTTACTTAGCAGTAATGTACAAATATTCCATGTTTATGGTGAGAGGGAGTGGAGCCTGCAGATGTGCTGGGAGTATACTGGAAGTTCTGTAGGAGCTTCACTTATATTAACAAGGAGGGGGAAGAGTGTTATCAAAATGATATGGAAATGAATAATACAACTACAGTAGCCCTTAAATTAGTTATTTTGACATTATATCTATTTTATTTTAAGCTGACCCATGTTTACAATTTTTGATTGCTGAAGACTTGTATTGAACACACATGTATGGTAGAAGTTGTCAGAGAAAAGATGGAGGGGTTTCGTAGGTGGGCAGTTGGGTCTTTTTCACCTGGAGAAGCATGGGAGATAATTGGGCATTATAGGATAAACACAATCTGGATGTTTCTATTAAAATGATCAGAAATGAAACAGTTAATATTTAAATGGCTATATTTAAGTTTCAGACATAACCCATCAAATGGAAACATCAAACACCTTGCGGAGATTTTTTTCAGGCTGCCTGTAGACTCAGGAAACAACATGGCATGCGTTTACATTCAGTTCACATTTTCAAGGTTTATATCCAACTTTATTGACTTCAGTTTTTTATATGAAAGCTCATATTCTGGAGCAAGATATTAGCAAGAGGTGGATTCTATAGCCCTGGAACACGGGACCCTGGTTATAAAACATGCAAACCCAACAAATAAGAGAAAGTTGTACCTCACTTCATCAAATAGGCTATTCATCTCACCAACAAGTCGCTTGTTTTCCTGTTCAAACTAAAGGAGGAAAAACAAAACAATAACAAAAAACACCAAATGAAGTCACAGATCAGATTGTTGTAAAAGACATTCTAAACAAGAAAGCAAGGTTTCAATATTAATTATAATTAATTCACTAACAGCCAATGTTTAAGAGCTACAGAGATCTTTCTGTATTATTCACCCCAGTTTGGGAAGTTAAAAAAAACCCAGCATGAACATGTTTGCTTTAACCAGCCACC